CTAATATATGCTAAAAAACTACTTACGTACCGAATTTTAAGCAAATCGGACCATAAATGCGATTTTTTGGAATAGATCGGTCCCTGGTCCACTTCTCGGAAAAAATTTATCACATATGCTAATACATGCTAAAAAGCTATCTGCGCACCGAATTTTAAGCAAATCGGACCGTAAATGCGATTTTTTCGAATAGATCGGTCCCTGGACCACTTCCCGGAAAAAATGGGTCATATATGCCAATATATGCTAAAAAGCTACTTACGTACTAAATTTTAAGCAAATCGGACTATAATAAGATTTTTTCGAATAGACCGGTCCCTGGTCCACCTACCCGAAAAAAAAGTAAAGTTTTTAGCCTAAAACATGGTGGTTACCGAAAGCTATTTGTATACAAAATTTCATGAAAATCGGACCAGCCGTTCGCGAGATTACCTGTTACAAAAAAAAAAGGGACTTCTCTTTATATAATTAGTATAGAAGATATAGATGAGACATAGTACTTAAATAAAAACTAAACGGAAAATACTTAAAATGAAAAACATTGGGTTTTAAAAAAATCACTGCATAACTACACATTTCGAGTGCTCAGTGATATATTTACGTATATACAGTATCGTTCATATCAATAGCACCCCCATTTCAAAGTGAGATTGGTTACCACTTTTGATTATTTCTTTTTTTAAATCTGATTAAATGGTCAAACATTTTGATGAAAAATCGTTAAATTTAACTTTGTTTTGTATAAAGTTTTAAGACACGGTTTATGGGATTTTATTTTAAGCATGATCATTTAAATAATAACAGATTTTAACTCTCAATATATTGTGAATATTTAAAAAAGAAATGGTGTACACAAACCTTTGCTGTCAAGTGTAGCTTAACTAAATTATATATTTTGCACTCAATTTTATACGTACGTAGATATGTATAATAATAAAAAAATTATAGTTTAAAAAACTAAAACCTCGCTATTAAATTAACCTGGTGACAGTACGAATGGAAGTTTTAAGAACGGAAGTTTAAAGCAATTCAAATTCGTACTGTCACCAGGCATGTAATTGAGAGTGGAAATCGCTGCATCTTTTAGGCGCATCAATATTACATAGAGAATTATATATTAAATAAACGAAAACAGTTTGTTATTAGTATTAGGGTCTAAGAAAATCGAAAAAATATAGTATATTACATTTGTGCATCTTTTGTCAGCTTTCACATGACCAGGATGAGTAACATTGATGACAGCGCAACTAGCAACATATGAGTTTCAACCATCCAACTCTGCATCCCTTTTGCAGTAGTTCAGAGACAGTTCTGAAATTTATAGGGCGGAACTAGCGCTTTGCCAGACTGTCCCTAAATTTTGGTATTTAAAGCTCAAGGATGCATTAAAATTTATGATTGTATCTAAAGTAAAGCATTTTATTATCGGTTTTAAATTGATTTACAGCCGAGAAACATACATACGTCAAAAGCCGATAATAGAAATGCTTAACTTTAGACATAGCTTTATTTTTAATGCAACCTTTAATTATAAAGTGAGCATACATACGTCAAAAACTGATAATAGAAATGCTTAACTTTAGACATAGCTTTATTTTTAATGCAACCTTTAATTATAAAGTGAGCATACATACGTCAAAAACTGATAATAGAAATGCTTAACTTTAGACATAGCTTTATTTTTAATGCAACCTTTAATTATAAAGTGAGCATACATACGTCAAAAACTGATAATAGAAATGCTTAACTTTAGACATAGCTTTATTTTTAATGCAACCTTTAATTATAAAGTGAGCATACATACGTCAAAAACTGATAATAGAAATGCTTAACTTTAGACATAGCTTTATTTTTAATCCAACCTTTAAATATAACGAGAGCTTTATAGTTAAAGATTACTTCAGAAAACGGCCCTTAATAGCTTTCAAAACGAACTTTCCATCAACAAATTTATATACTTTTTTAAATAAGTAAATTATGAGACGGCGTATAAATTTCTGAACTTTTTCTTCTTTCTTTCTTAAGCTTTCAACTGTTTCATTATTAAGAATGTCCCTGTATTTATTTTTAAAAAGATTCATCTCTGAAAATTTTCTTCACGTTGACATCTACTCTGCCAAGTTGCTAAACATACACGTTTCCAAAACATTTTTGTGATCCGTAATCAATCCCCTGCTTTTGTAAATGAAAAGTGATTCCGCAATGAATGTTGAAGCGTAAAAGGGACAACTTCTGTTACTCCTCGCTATACAAAACCTTGGTTTTTGCCACAGAAGTTATTGAGCAAAAATTTAAGAAGTTACCATATTATTTTGTAATAAATTCTTAATGTGAATGGAAAAAAGTAAATCAATCGGAGCATATTTTAGGTAAAGAGGAGTAGGGAGCAGATTTTACGTTTAAAAAAGAAATCGGAGTAAATGTACTTCGATCGAAGAAACGGGACGCTGCTCAAGTCATACATTGTAGTCGCCGGTTAAAGGGCGGTGGGTTGTAAAATAGTTTATGTAACAGGACACCGGATAGTCAAAAGCTCTGAAAACAACACATGCATTTTACATTTGCAAACCGGCTACCGCTTTATAGGGGTCCGGAACATGTGAAACGGCGCTAATACGTAGATAAATAGAAGTGTCTTTATAACTTACCTCTAAAGCTTTTTCCTGAGATTTAATCAGTCTGTACTCGGTATAGCGTCTTAAATATTCAAATAGATTACTGGAAGTAACTTGAATTTCCCGACCTCCTGGTAGCAATTCGACACTTCCTCCACCTTCCTCTTTCATAAGATCGATTCTAAATGTACATACATACTATATTAATACAATAGAACATTTATAGCTTGAAATACTCCATTTAACTTACACAAAAAAAAGCTCCATGCGTTGTATTATACCATCTCCGTCATCTGATTGAGCATTCTGTATAAGTTGCCTGAAGGACTCATATATTATTGGATCGAAAAAGGCCAAATCGTGAAATTTAATTTTTCTTCCGAGTATAAATTTCAAAACATGCCGTTGTAAGAAAAGTGGAAGTAGTTCATTTTGTAGAAGGCATAATCCGATTAACCTGGAATAAATAAATAATTGTTTTAATCTTATTTACTTTAAGATTAAGAGAATCATTTTCAAATCCAAAATGAGTTTAAAGAACTACTTAAGAAATGCACACAATTTTCAAATCCACAATAATTCAACGTCAGATTACGATTAGAAAACTACCGTTTTCCTATCAGAGATGCCATGATACTGTAGTGTTAATACTATTTACTATTGTACTTTGTTCATTTTTGTACTTTGTTATTTTTGAAATTATTGAATTAAGTTCTTTTTCAATTTATGTAAATCAAAAAGAAAATGTTTGATTACTTCAGAATTTTTTCTTCTTTGAAATTTAAAATACGTTAAATTAAAAATAAGTTTATATAAAAATAAAATTTTGAAAAATACAATTTTATAATTAAATACACCACAATTGGCGATCCTGCCAGGAGTCGTTGATTATTTTATATTCGTGTTCAGTATCAAACATACGGTCAGCTTTAATTAGTTAAAAAAAAAGTGCAAACTTGTAGCACTGATAGTTAAAAGTCCAACATTCGTCCGGGAGCTCAATAACGATTTCCTCACCACATTCCTGGTCGTTGGTCTTTTGGTGTACCCAAATAATTTGTCACTATTTGTATTTGTTGCGGTAATTCCAACACTGGTGTTAATACCACTACAATTGAACTATCACCAGGCTGCAATAAAATGTATAAGTGATGCCGACAAGAAGAAGCTTCATTTTCATATCCGCGAATGGAATTCGAACAGCAATCCACAAGAGTCCAATTAGCAAAAATCACCAACGTGATATTTCGAAAACCACAACAATATAAAGAACAACGTCAACAACAACATAAGTACTAGTCGTCTCAATAACACTTGGCTAGTACTCCTAATATGTAGAAATCCGTTGCCAGAAAGTAACTCCCTTGTTGATTTTGCATTCGCACAACAAAATTGCAAACAGCGACAGCTTCAACAAGCCGTAGCAACAACAACGGCAACAAGCCGCAACTATCAATACCGGTAATAAGTAGAAGCAACATTTACGGCAACAACACCAACAGAGCAGCGGCAACATCAACGCCCGCAGCAGTAGCGGCATCAGCAGCGACCGCAGCAGTAGCGCTAACATCAACAACAATCTTAGTTTTACTGGTGAGCTGTATTGTTCTCATATTTTTAATATATATATATATATACTATTTTTATTAAAAATTAAAAGAATTTAATTGTTATTTATTAAATATTACATATATAATATTTATTTATTTATTTTTTTTAATTGTAAACTTCCCTTTTCTGAGGTCTTTTGATATTTGCTCAAATTCAAATAATCAAAATGTTTCGTTCACCACAACATGATACACATACATCTACACGAGATAATTTAAATGAAACTCTTATTGATTTACAAAATAGTACGTTTAACGAACAGTTAACAAATCCGTATGTCGATCGAAATAGTAATGAGATTTGTGCTACATCGGTCAAACTACCACAATTCTGGACAAGTTGTCCGGAAGCGTGGTTTATTCATGCGGAAATGCAGTTTAGTACCAAAAATATTACACAAGAAACAACAAAGTATGAACATACAATTACTGCACTTCCGCAAGAAGTTATAATAACGATTTTAGACTTTATTCAAAATCCGCCCGAAAATAATAAATTTACCTCACTTAAGAAAATTTTAATTGAAAGGCATTCATTAAGTGAGAATGCGAAATTAGACAAAATTTTATCGGATACTGAAATGGGTGATCGTAAGCCCTCGGAATTTTATCGGTCACTTGTACTGCTTTCGGGTTCCAATTTTAGTCAAGAAATTCTTAAGAAACTTTGGATGAGGAAGTTACCGAAGAACCTAAGCGTGATTTTAGCTAGTTCTAATTCAAGCAGTATTAGTGAATTGACGAAATTGGCTGATAATGTTTGGGAGGTTATTAGCAAAAGCGAGATAGCTTCAGTTAATGATTTTCAAAATTCAAAAGGTGAAAATGCAGTCATGGCTAATTTGGTTAACACTACTTCTCTTATTTTTAAAAATTTTGAAAAACTTTCTTTGGAATTATGTGAAATGAGGAGGGAAATGAATCAAAATTATTCAAGGTCACGTTCAGTGAATAGGAATCGTTTTAGGAGCCCTTTTAGATATCGATCAAAATCACGCGACAATCCGAATTGGTTATGTAGATATCATTATAAATTTGGAAACAAGGCTAAAAAATGTGAACAACCATGTGCATTTTCGAAAAATAATAGTCCAACAAACTAAAGTCGTCCGTTGTTGCGGCGACAAACAACGGGAATTTGGACATTTCCACACGTCGCCTTTTTATATTTGATAAAACAAACAAACTAAATTTTTTAATTGATAGCGGAGCAGAAATTTCGGTACTTCCAGTTTCTAAATTTTCGAATACTAGGAAATCTTCAGATATAATTTTAACGGCAGCTAACGGCTCAACTATTTTTACATACGGGAAGAAACTTTTGAATATTAATTTGGGTTTAAGGCGTGAGTTCCTTTTTACATTTTTGATTGCTGATATTGCGAAGCCGATTATAGGAGCTGATTTTTTGTGTAAATATGGACTTCTTTTTGATATTAAAAACAAGTGTTTAGTAGATCCGTTAACAAATCTATCAGTTAATACAATTTCGTACTTTTGCAATATTCCTCTTCCAAACATTTTTTCAGTAGATCAATATACATAATTATTGAAGGAGTTTCCTTCCCTTATTTCTGAGCTAGATTACTCAAAACCGGTTAAGCATACAACGGTTCACAGACTTGTCACTGAAGGAAACCTTCCTTTTTCTAAGCCAAGGCGCTTAGATCCTATCAAATTTAAAGTAGCTAAAACTGAATTCGATTTTTTGGTAAAAACAGGGATTTGTAGACCATCAAATTCATCCGTGGCATCTCCACTTCATTTAGTACCAAAGAAAGAAGTTAATGACTGGCGTCCTTGTGGTGATTTTAGAAGACTTAATAATGTGACTGTACCGGATCGTTATCCTTTGCCTCATATTCACGATTTTAATATGAACCTTAGGAATAAAAATATATTTTCAAAGTTAGATTTAGTTAGAGCGTATCACCAAATTCCAATGGCAGAAGAAGACATTTTTAAAACGGCGATTACTACTCCTTTCGGTATGTTTGAGTTCACCCAAATGCCTTTCGGGCTGAGGAACTCAGCGCAAACGTTTCAGAGATTCATCAACGAAGTAGTAGGTAAATTAGATTTTGTTTTCGCGTATATTGATGATCTACTGGTTGCAAGTGAGAGTGAAGAACAACATTTAAAGGATCTACGGGTACTTTTCGAACGTTTGTCTGAGTATGGTTTGAACGTCAAACCAAGCAAATGCATTTTTGGTGTTCCAAGTATAGATTTTTTAGGACATTGTTTATCTGAGGCAGGGATACAGCCTTCTGTAAACAGAGTAGAAGCGATTCGCAATTTTGAACGACCGAAGTCAATAAAACAAGCGCAAAAGTGTATTGGTATGGTTAACTATTACCATAGATATATTTCAAAATTAGCTGAGTTTACTGGAGTTATATATGATTTAATTAATAAAACAAGTAAAAAGCGAGACAAAATTTTGGTTTGGGATGACAAATCCATTAAAGCTTTTGAATGCATTAAAGAGAAGTTTGCATCTAAGATTTTGCTAAATCATTTTAGTAAAGATGCAAAATTGTCTTTAAGGGTAGATGCATCCAATACAGCAATTGGTGGTGTCATACAGCAGCATTTCAATAATAAGTCTGAACCACTTGCGTTCTTTTCAAAGAAACTCTCTCCAGCAGAAATGAAATATAGTGCTTTTGACAGGGAACTTTTAGCAATTTATTTGAATATTAAACATTTTCGGTATTTATGTAGAATGAAGACAGTTTACGGTTTTTACTGACCACAAACCCTTGATTTTTGTTCTAAATTCCAAAACTGAGCGTAGTCCAAGACAGACAAGGCATCTTGAGTTTATTGCACAGTTTACTAGTGACATTCAGTATATTAAAGGACAGACCAACATTGTAGCTGACACGTTATCTCGTGCGTTTGAAATAGATGTGATTAAAAATTCAGAACTTAATTTCAAAATTTTACAGAGTGAACAGCAACAGGACAGTGAACTTAATATACTTATTTCTGGAAAAACGTTTCAAAATCTTAATTTAATTAAAATTCCTATTCTAAATTTTAATATTTGGTGTGAAGTGTCAGGAGAAAGTCCTAGACCTTTCGTTCCAATTAATTTGCGCAGGACAGTGTTCGATATGTTACATGGAATTGCTCATCCTGGTACCAAGGCTACACGCCGATTAATTGTGAAGAAGTATTATTGGCCTTGTATGAACAAGGAGATAAACATATGGTCAAAAGGATGTATAAGTTGCCAGAAATCTAAAGTTTATCGTCACACAAAATCTCCTGTGAGCACAATTCCAATTCCGAAGAGCAGATTTGAACATATACATTTAGATATTGTTGGACCGCTTCCTGTTTCAAGAGGTTACCGCTACATTTTAACAATTATGGATAGATTTACTCGTTGGCCGGAAGCATATGCTGTAAAGGATATCTCTGCACAGACAGTTGCAAATAAATTTTTTAATGAATATGTTTCGCGTTTCGGTGTGCCTTTAGAAATCACGACGGATCAGGGTACTCAATTTACGTCCAAATTATTTTCGGAACTTACTAAATTACTTGGTAGTCATCATATCACAACTTCTTCCTATCATCCTCAAAGTAATGGTATTGTGGAACGATTTCATAGACAATTGAAAACTTCAATTTTGGCTAGGAATGGAACTAGAGATTGGTACGATGAGCTACCGATTATTCTTCTTGGTTTGCGTTTAGTGTACAAAGAAGATATTGCAGCCACTCCAGCTGAAATGCTTTTTGGCCAAAATTTGCGTCTACCTGGAGAACTTGTTGTGCCAACTACAGAAAATGTTACTTCCGCCGAAATTTTAGGAAGTTTACGGGAACGTTTTAAAAACTTTAATTCAAATTTAAAACATCACAAAAATTCCGATTCAGGAATTTATGTTCCAAAAGATTTACAAACTTGCAAATTTGGTTTTATTCGCATTGTTAACAAGCATTCTCTTCAACATCCTTATGAAGGGCCTTACAGAGTTATTGAAAAAGACAAAAAATATTTTAAGGTAGATGTGAATAATGAAATTAAAATTATTTCGATTGACAGACTAAAACCAGCAATAGTTGAAATAACAGAACCACATAACACTAACAACCATATAGTTTCAACAACGACTAAAAAGAAACAAGTTACTTTCAATTTGTATAATAATAACTCTCTGGAAGGGGGAGTATTGTAGTGTTAATACTATTTACTATTGTACTTTGTTCATTTTTGTACTTTGTTATTTTTGAAATTATTGAATTAAGTTCTTTTTCAATTTATGTAAATCAAAAAGAAAATTTTTGATTACTTCAGAATTTTTTCTTCTTTGAAATTTAAAATACGTTAAATTAAAAATAAGTTTATATAAAAATAAATTTTGAAAAATACAATTTTATAATTAAATACACCACAATACAATAATTTTTAGAAGGTAGTTTCACTTCTTCTTCTTATCCGCCATGTTAGCTATCTGACAGAAAACGTGTTTCGTATTTTTTGTTGTACCAACTTTTTCAAAAAAAAAAAATCCAGCTTTTGACCTTGGAAAAATAAAACAAAGAAAAGCAAACATATAAGTAGAAAAATTTTCGAATATTTTGTAATAATTTTCTTCATAAAAAATTAACTGCTGCTTTCGTGGATATTGCAACACACGGAATAGATGTAAGGACACAGCTATAAGAGCCAGCGCACACCACAGACTTTATCGGCCGCATATTTAAATGATAGGGCTCGCTTGAAATATGTACACGAAGATGTATGGAGGTGCGCACATTACACCAGCTTAATCGCTCTGACCAATAGGTTGTGGTGCAATGGAAAGACTAGCGAGCACATCTAAATTGGCGGCCGATAAAGTCCGTGGTGTGCGATGGATCTAATCCATTATAAACAAGAAATATTGCTGTTATATTTTCATTTTTATGATTTTTATTCATGTGATTAGCAGTGGCAAAAATGTATGTATAAAATACGTATATTTATATTAAAAATTAAGTGATCAGTTATGAAACATAAAAATCTTTACATGTTCTGTTAAAAAATATCTAAAATAACAAGCGATAATCCCCAAGTTCTATATCGTAGCATTGGCCACATTGCGTGTTTGTCACAGACACGGTTTATGTCAAAAATTTTGAAGTGAAACTACCTTCTAAAAATTATTGTATCATGAGAGATGCCATAATTCTGGAAAATTTCTTGCAAATATAAGCAAACATAAAAAAATATCCACCCTTTAGAATTTTATAGTTTTAAAGCTGAACTCAAACGAGTAGCTCGTTTCTGTAACTCTTCTCTACCGATTATTTCTCTACTGGTAGAGAATATACGTCATATTTCATTCTCTACTACTCATTAGCAATAGAGAACAGGGCGGCGAATTTATATCTCAATTCGCCTTGGTATAGAATTTTTACAAAAACCGACTACAGGGCCGCATAACTATATAAACAAACAAATTTCGTTTCGTTATTTATTAAAAAAAAACATCAAAAAATTTAAATTGAATAAACAAAATATGAAAAGAAAAATAATTTCGTTAATTATCAAAAATGCTAAAAAAAAATCGTTTCGTTGATTATCCAAAAGGAAATATCAATAGTTGTTTTGATTCATTTTGCATATCATAATGAGAGTTGTATAGCAAATTTATGTAAGAGTACGTAGCGTTATGCGAATTCTTTTTATTAAATAAGAAGGAAATTTAAAAATTTTTTACTGCCAACGTTTTTATGGTAATTTCTCCATTTTATAAATATTGCGCATTTAAGCATACTACGTTTCGAAAAAGCCGCTGGGCACTGTAAATTTTTTTAGACATGCGATTTTTTAGCATGGTTTTTAAATTGTTTACTTCAGTTGTATATTTTTGCATTAAAATCTAACTTATATTATTTAGCTGGTTAATTTTACGTTAGAATAAAAAGAACTATGTTTTTCTTCGATGACTAGCAAAAAGTCAATTGACAATTTTCTTCATTTCCTCTTCATAGTTTAGGGTTGCATTTTGCAAATTTTCATAAGTGAGAATTATAATTTGAGTTGCTATCTAGTGTAGAATCACTACAGGGCTCTCCCGGTAGATATGATCTTATCTGGTTGCTGCCTTGACATTGTAACTTGTGGTGGCAGCGTTTCGCTGACTATCCTCGATGGCAATTTGGCTACTGTTTGTTGTGTTCCTTCTTCCAAAAATACCGGGCTTGAGGAGATCAATGGAAACGGTGATAGTTTTTTGATTCCTGAGAAAATTTCGCTTTTCGTTTCAGCACTTGGAATGGTCCTTCGTATAGTTATTCCAATGCTGTACGCACGCGGTCTACTCGAACAAACACGAATTCGCAGTTTTTAAGCTCAGGTTGGATGAATGTTAGTTGGACTCGAGTTGCTTTGCCTGGCTGAGCCGCAGAAAAGGGCTGCCGTAATTGCTTGATGAATTCTGTTTCGTTTAGCTTACTTTTGCTAGGGCATTCCATTGGCTTGGGAATGTTTAACCGTTGTTTTCAGGTGTCGTATCCCCATGATACCCATGAGTTCGACCTAAGTCGGTTGTGATCTGTATGGGTACGGCGAAATAACCAATCCATCCCTCAATTAAGGCGCGCGCAATCGCTTCTGCCGACATATCCGGGATGGGTATCGCGACTGGCCACTGAGAAAATCGGTCTATACAATGGATATGTTCAAATAGGCTATCAGCTTTGTTGTAATCACCAAGAGGAGCTTTTGTATGCCGTTGAACTTTATTTTTCTGACATAAAATACAGTGTCGTACAAACTTCGCGATATTCTTCGCCATATCTGGTCGCAAGTAACGTTCCGATACTAGTTTGTGCGAAGCTTAACGTCCTGGATGAGCGAGGCTGTATAATTTTGCGATTACCTGTTGACGTACGCTGCTTGGTACAGTTTAGTACACCTATCATCTGAACACGCGATAATAAGTCGGCAATGTCGTTCTCTTTACCGGGAAAATGCCTTATATCGCTAGAAAATTGGGAGATAAAATCTAGCTGGCGGGCTCTCCGAAGAGGTGCATCGTTTACGGTTTGTGAAAAGGCGCAAATTAAGGGTTTATGATCAGTGTAAATTACGAATTGCCTACCTTCTAGTATGTGGTGAAAACCTGACCTGATGTGGCGAAAATGCTGAATTGCTTGGGTATTTTGTTCGAAAAATTCTCGTAAATGTTTTTCGTTTTCTATTGGATTTGCAGAAGCCACGAGGATGTCGTCTATATATGCAAACACGAAATCGATTCCTGTCTGCGCTGCGTTTCGTAAGCCAAAACTCATGAAGTGAAACTCGAAGAGTCCGAACGGCGTCGTAATTGCCGTTTTAGGACCATCAATATATGCGTGATATCGTGTAAAAATAGTATGGGGTATCGGTCGGCGGCTGTTACAGAGTTAAGCGACCGCGAGTCCCCGCACGGTCTCCACTCGCCATTGGCCTTGCGCACCATGTGCAGGGGACTAGCCCATTCGCTGCTCGACGGCGTAAAAATTCCCCGATCTAGCATGTACAGAAACTCGCGCTTTGCTGCGTCCAGTTTTTCGCCTGTGAGTCGGCGGGGTCGTGCGAAGACTGCTGGACCGGTTGTAACTATGTGGTAGGTTACTTTCGATGGCGTTGTTAAGTACACCTAACTCCTTGAACTCATCTAGCAGACTAGCGTATTTATCTGGCGCCTTGAAAGTTACAACTGATGATATGTTCGCGTAGATAGCATGGCCTTTAGCTTCGTGAAGCGTCGTTCGGTTGTGTACTGGATCCACGAATAAACTGAATTTACGTAAAAAGTCTAAACCGATGATGTGTGCTGAGACGTCTGCTATGAAGAAAGTCCACTCAAAGTTTTTCCTAAGCCTTAGGATAGGCTCAGGCGTCGTTCGCCGTACGTTTTGAAGGTTTACTGCTTTCCCATATTTGTCACTTGGCCAAACTGGTGTAACGGATACATCGGTGCCGCTGGCAATTATGAATTTAAGTTTGGTGTTGCTGTCCGTGATTGCGATGCGTGCAATGTTGCTTAGATTTTTGACTTCGAATTGAAACCGCAAGGGGCGCGGCATTTTCGTGCATTGCGGCTGAATTTCGTATGGAACCAGCAAAGTTAACTTGCAGCTGATTTTTTCATTGTAAGTTTTAAAGAAGGCCGTGTTGTAAATGGCCTAGATTGTTTACGCTGCAGTTGATCGAGCTGTCTCTCTATTCGCTCAATGCGGATGGATTCACTGTGTTTCTAACCTCGTTGCCATTGCCACGTGGTTGTGATCGCTGACTTCCATGATTTTGTCAGCTAATTTGGCAAAAGATCGGGAAGTTCAGATGTGAATGCCTGAAGGATAGTGCTAGTCTGAGGGGGCAAACGCTGAAGCCAAAGGGATTTGAGAAACTCGTTGCTTATTCTGTCTCGGGCGAGACCTATCAGCTCCCGTAAAAGTTGTGTGGGCCGTCGGTCACCTAGGTCGCTTTCAGATAAAAGTTTTTTCATCTTTTTCTCTTGGCTTTCGCCAAACCGGTCGATGATGCACTTTTTTAAGTTTTCGTATTTTCCTTCTGCTGGTGGTTGTAGCACTGCCTCCGTAATTTGCGCCAACACGTGAGATTTAATGGATCACAGTGTTAAATTTGGTTATGTCCGATGAGATTCCAGCAATGCAAAACTGGGCTTCTATTTGTGCGAACCAAATTTCTGGCCGCTCAGCCCATAAAGGGGGTACTTTAACGCTGATTATTAACGAAAATACCATTGCTCTCTTGGTTAAGCAGGCAGTCGCTGTTGAAAGGTTTTTGCTGGACATCGCTTGGCGCAGTTGTTTTATGTGGAGCCGGTGTTACATCGTCCTCGACCTTTTTTTCCGAAAGGATGATGTTGCGAAAATTAGTCGTCCGGGTCACCAATTTAGCTGGCTTGCTAATTTTACGTTAGAATAAGAAGAACCACGTTTTTCTCCGATGACTAGCAAAAAGTCAATTGACAATTTTCTTTATATCCTGTTCTTAGTTAGGGTTGCATTTTAAATTACATACTAAAGTATTCAGGGTTGGAGGTTTGCAGGTTTGCATTCCGTAAGGAAATTCACGTTGTATTCACCTAGCTCAAGGAACTTAAATTTTTTTTACAAGCTTTTATTTAACTTGCTCCGTATGTACGTATGTATGCATGTATGTGCGTAAGTATGGGTGAATTCCAAAACGTCAAAATACAAACCATCAGTCTCTTTTATTTCTAAACCTCAGTAGATTGTAATACCAAA